TTTGTGTTGTAACAAATGTTGCCTCTCCTTTGCCAGAAAATGAAAAAATGCAATCAGAAGGGAATTTTGTGCAATTAATTGAGCAATCAGAGGAGACCTGTTGGACTGATACTGTGCCACTAAGGATGTAAAAGCTATTTCAGGTCACCAGAAAACTATAACCAAGTGCAACTATAAGTCACCTCAGAGATGAGCAGTCATGCTTTGCATCCAGGTGGTACAGTAAATTTCTGATTGAATGGTTTCATATAGGGCTGCACGATAAAATCGCATGCGATATTTAACGCGCATCTTATCAGTAAAGCTGGTTCTGTAATCAGCGGTAAATCTCCATTAAAAAATTATATTGTAAATAAAAATTCTATCAAATTTGTATGACTTACTTTTTTGGAACATAAAAAATTATTTATTTTGAAGAGTGTTGGTAACCAAACAGTTCTGGTTCCCACTGACTTCCATTGCATGGATATAATTGAAGTAAACAGGAACCAAAACAATTTGGTTACCAACATTCTTCAAAAAATATTATTTTGTGTTCTGCAGAAGAAAGTCAGTCATTCAGGTTCAGAAAGGCATGATGAGGGTAAGTAAATGATGACTGAATTTCCATTTTGGGGTGAACTATCCCTTTAAAGTTCAGTTAGGTGTTCATTAGGCAGAAATGGATACATTTCATTTTTCTGCCTGTCCCTCGGAAATGGCCTGCGGTGCAACCATCCAAATCACACTGTAGAGATCAAGTAATCAGATCGAATATGGCTAGACGAGGTACTGTAAGCGTCCAGCAGAGTGTTCGCTCACTTACCTTGCATTTTTACCTTCAGTTCAATTGTGATTTTCTTGGTGGTGGAATGCTTGAATGAATCGAACTCAAAGAAGCGTGACACCTCACATTCGTATGTGCCAAAGTCATTTGCGCTGACATTTACGATGCTAATGGAGATGTCCTGCAGGTCCTTGCTGCCGATCCATGTCAGACGGCCCTTCCAGTACATTTCTGCGTCCTCTGGCTCCTGCGGTTCACGATCATACAGATAGATCTGCATAGAGGAGATGATTGTGTGTCAGATATGCTCATTTTTAAATACAATAATATGCAGCAAAAAAGCTAAGAGGTAATCTCACAAGCATTCTTCGGTAATCTGATGCAGAACCGGTGTAGAACCAGTCCACTTTGGTCTCGGCAGAGATCTCTTCCTGTTTCATGCAGTAGATGCAGGTTAAATTCATAACACCGCCTACGGTGGCCTCTGTGTTTGATGCAACATCCACACACACCAGTCTGACCTCCTGAACTGCAGAAAACACACAGATTATTACCACACACATTGCATCTTTCATCAACATGTAGGACATCCAATCATGCCCTTTGGAGTGAGAGGTTAGCACCTTTCCAAAAACGTAGCTTCAATCTGCAGATACTTTATGGAGGTCAATTAAATCTGAGGCAGAGACTTCTCAAGGGAGCACCAGAGAATGAGAAAGAGAGACAGAGAGAGATCATTATCCATTACAAGCTCCAATTCCAGAAGGAGCTCACAGCACTCCCAACTCCCGCTCAGACGAAAACATACCTTATTGCTGCAGACACATGCTCAGTATTGGCGGCAGAGAACACCCCATTGAGCAGGGGCCGGGCCGAGGCCTCAGTGATGTGAAGATTGTTCTGGAGTGTTCGCTCGACTGTGAACATAACCTCTCTGCCATTGTTGAAATGGAGGCCATCTTACATAACTCACAGCCTCAAGCACAGGCTGTCAAGACTGATCGCGCCTTTTCTGTTTGAAGGGTCATATGGGCTAATGGAAATGGCAAATGTATTTGTCCATCCCACAAGCACAGGCAATGTATAATAATGATGACTAGTTGTGACATATTTCGCCACTAGTCAAAGAATGCGAAGTTAGTGGTAGATGAAATTCTATTTTAAATCTCTTAATGTTCTGATGACACCAGGCTGCCACAATCTGTGAGGAGAAGCAGTGAGTCATTGACACTTATGGGATCGTTTAGAGCTGAATCAATGCCATCTCTGTATGGGATTGTGTTTTTTTTAACGGATATGTGAATCTGTGACTCACAAATAAGTACCTCACATACCTCAAACACTGCCTGTACTAATGTTCTGATGTATGATTAACTGGTTTATGTTCTAGGAGATACAGACATTTAAGAGACTATTTAAAGTAACTCAAAACTCAAAAAAGGGTCCCTGCAAATACTCAAGTGGTTTGATATATTATATAAAATACCA